CTGTCCAGTGCTATACATCTGCCTCTATCCCACTGTGTGCCTGGGGTAGGTGGTACTCAGCCCCTCAGCAAAAGGCCTGTAGAAGCATCTCCCCAAGCTAAAAGTAGAACAGGGGGGTGTCTGGGAGATTAAATGGATCCACCAAGGTACCTAAAATCCAGGCTATCCATTTCTACCCCAAGACAGCAAATGACCAAATGTGACATACCAGCTGCGAGAGAGTGAGCAAATACTAGTTATAAAACAGCAAGCCAGAATTTTGAATGCTGATTTGTAGCAAATCAAAGTGACTAATCACAGTTCTGGAAATTGATTGATTAAGATGAGAGCCTAAGAAGTGATAATCATGCCTTGTCAGTTTGGATTGCTGGAAACATCTGCCTTATGTATCTGGAGAATGGAGAAGTATTGGGGACCAAAAGGAAAGCATGTAAATTTCAAGTTTTCCATTTATATGAGGACTTTTGTCTTACAATTAGAATTTTTTTGGTTTTATTTCGTTTTAGTAGTTTTAATTTATCTTTAGCTAAGGGTGCTATAATTTGACATTATGGAATTCTGAGAGTGTAAGAAAATCAAATGCCCTTTAAATTACAACTTTTCTTCAATATTCTAATTAGGTTCTTCTAGTTTATAAGTAATTCCTCTGACATTTGTTTCCATAGATACTTAACAAACTTTATTAAGCCTTATTCAAATGGCTTTATATGCAACCACATGAGCATTTCTTAGAAATCAACACTTATATAGATACAGTTCTTTAAAGTTATGCCCCCCAAATAGAAGCTGCTATACTTGAATGGTCAGATTGGATCAGTGGTCTCAATTACACATAAGAGAGGTCTTAAGGGCATTTGGAAATGTCTAGAAGACTTTAACTGACATATGGTGGCAGGGCAGAGGCCAGGGCTGTTGTCATTGACTAATACCTAGGATAGCCACAATGATCTATGCAACTAAAATGTCAGTAGTCCCAAACTGGGAAATACAAGTGAGGTGATAAGAGATGAAAAAAAAAAGCTCCAGTCTTAGGCTGTGAAGTATGCTGGGAATTGTGCCTGTGGTTTCATTCTACAGAATGTGAGACAGAGTCACACAGTATTTCTGGGGATTTTACATGAGCCTCAGTCTCATGAGCAAAGTCTTTAGGAATTGGAACAAGCATGCACTCAAGGGCATCTCTTTCTCTTAAAGCAGGTTTAGTCTTCAAAATAAATTAAATGTAAGTTTTACTTGTAGATTTTCATAACCACTTTTTTCTGAGACAGGTTCTTCCTGTGTAACCTTAGTTAGTCTGAACTCACAAATGTACTCCAGCCTGGCCTCAGACTCATAGAGACCTGCTTACTCTTCCTACTGAGTTCTGGGATTAAAGGTGTGTGCCACCATACCTAGCCATACCTTTTATAAAAGGTTAAATAGCATCTCAATGAATGTAGTTAAAAGAAATGTTCTTCCTTCTAAAATATTTTCTTTTTAAGCAATATTTATTAAATCCAGATTGTGAATCGATTCAGCGTTATATAACTTAGTGTTCTGTTAGCATTTAGCCATAAACAAATGATTGGTTTGTTTGGTGGCTGTTCATAGGGTTGCAGCCAAGTTTGAGATGCTGAACAACACAGCAGATGTGCCCCAAACAAAACCTAGCTAATGGCGAATTTGTAAATCCTTGTTTCCAGGTTGTGCATGTAAATTAAATCATCATTTACTTTTATTCTCAAGTTTTCCTTCAGGGCTACTAATCTTGAGTAAAGCATAGCTGTTTATATCATATGTCAATGGGTTTAATGTGTTTGCATGTGCACACACGAACAGAAACTTATAAAAGGTGAAATAATGTATAGCATTAGAATGTCTTACTAAGTAGAATGGATCTGTAACTGCATACGGTTCTTTGTATAACTTTGCCAAAATTAAAAACAAAAATACCCAAACTCTGTTTCCCATTTGGGGGTATCCTCTGGAGCGGATTAGGTGATGCTGTTGCTGTCTTCAGTGCCCCTCTGCTGTGAGCAGCTGTTCTTTCACCCAAAAACTCCTGGTTGCTGCTCTGCTCAATGTCCATCCTAGTCAAAGAAACAGTAGGAGGCAGCCAAATCATGGAAAAGTTCATCTGTATTTAAGTAGGGCCACCAATTTTTAAATAACATTTGGTTGTGGTGTGTTTTACATACCACAAATCCTTATAAGGTATAAGTTCACTGGCTTTTAGTATATTCATGCACAGAGCTGTATGATCATCACCACCATCTAGTTTTAGGACATTTTTATCAGCTTAAAAAAAAAAAACTTGCTCAAAATCAGAAACTTCTGTGCTTCAAAAGGTGCCACTAAAAAAGAGAAAAGGTGGGAGAACACACCAGTAATATATCTGGTAACAGACTTGAACCTAGAAATAAAAGAACACAATACCAAAAAGACAACCAAGATGTACACATAGTAAACACAGAAAGGATGCAATACCATCAGTCATCAGGGAAACACAAATAAAACTACAAATGAGATCTCACTCATATCCGCAAGAATCATCAGGATGGCTATTAAAAAAAAAATCAGGTGAAGTGACATGGGCCTGCAATCCCAGCATTTAGCAAATGGAGGCAGGAGGGTCAGGAATTAAAGGTCATCCTATATAGTAAATTTGAGACAAGTCTGGGCTGCATAAGACCCTGTACAAGATAATAGCAAGTGTTGGTAAATCCCTCATATGTTACTATGGGAATGTAGAACAATCCAACTGCTTCTGAAAACAACTTGACAGTTCCTTAACAAGTTAAGCAGAGTTACTACCTATCTTAATGAGATTGTGCTCAATTCTACAAAATAAAGCAAGTCATACTTTTTAAAAATGTCCTTGTGCATATCAAAGTTTGTACTAGTGTTGTCTATTAAATGTGAAATACCAGTTGTTTTTAAAGTGTGCATACCTTAATTGAAATATAGTTTATTGCTTTAAAAATACAGATAACTCTGAGTTGTTTGAAAAATGCTGCTAATAGCCAACAGAGGATTGTCACAAGTTATAGTTTGTGAAAAGTGCAGTATTTGAAGCTCAATAGATGAATGCACAACAAAGCAAGGTATTCCTTTGTGTAACCTGAAGAACACTCTACCACTTCCCACACACTCTCTTCTCATCCCTACTCCATTCCCCATAGTCACTAATCTACTTTCTGCCTGTAGGAATTGGCCTCCTCCTAACTTTTCATATATATATATGAAATATATATATATAACGACTGTGTGACTGTTTGTACCTGACTTTGTCACCCATTTGTAGCAGATAATCATTCTCTGTCCCTTTGTGAGAACACAAATACTCCAGTGTATAGATAGACCACATCTTGCTTTTTCAAAATCTGTTGGTGGCTATTGGCATTATTTCCACTTTCATTGTTGTGGATAATGCTATGAACAATCACCTAGATGACTGTAGGATGGACATGTTTTTTATTCTCTTGGCTGTATATCTAGTAGTAGAATTTCTTGGTCATGCTCTATGTTTGACTTTTAAGGAAGGTGCCAGATTGTTCCAAAGTAGCTGTGCCTTTTACAGTACCACAAGCAGCTGGGTTTTTTTGTTGCTACTAATTTTTTGTTTTGTTTTGTTTTGTTTTGTTTGGCTGGTTGGTTGGTTGGTTTGTCTTGTTTTTAGGGAGACTGGCTACACACTCCTTGGAGTGAATTTCCCAAATCCTTGGCCAGATTCTCCCTTCTTTGTCCTCTAAGCTGTGCCTAACAGTTCCTTGACTGGCAGACTTTATCATCCCTTCTCTGAACATACATTCTCCCGGTTTCAGAGCTCTCTTGAACCATACATATTTCAACCAGAACCATACAAATTGCCCCCTCCAAAAAAAAAAAAAGACAAAAAAAGACAAACCACCACCACCAACAACAACAAAAAACCCATCTGAGTTGGAACCTCACTGACTGAGCTCCTGTAAGGGATTTTATTGAAAAACTATGACAAGATGAGTTGGTAGAGTGCTTGCCCTGCAAGCATGAGGACTGAGTTCAGAGCTGCAGTACCCTGTAAAAGCCCGTGGGTTGGGGATTGAGACAAAAGAATCTCTAGAGCTCACTGCTCAGCCAGTCTGCATGAATTGGTGAGCTTCCAGTTTTCTGTGAGACCCTGACTCAAATAACAATGTAGAGATTAACTGAGAAAGACATCTGGCCCTGGCATTGTCCTCTGGGCTACCAATGCACATATATTTGAACCCACACTTGCATGTATACACAACTATACAACACAACACCACATGTACAAATGCTCACACACACAAAAACTTTGTATTTGTGTCTCGATGATCTTAATCCTAAGACTTTGTTGGACATGCGCATCTTTATTTTCTGTTTCCACTGTACTTTTGTACACTGCAAATGTGTATACACACACACATACACACACGCACGCACGCACGCACCGCGTGCACATGCACGCGCGACATGCTCCATAGCATACAACAGAGGCATCAGTGCAAGGCTTGCTCTACCTAAATCTATCTCTTGACAGTCACACAGTATAATCAGCCATTACGTGTTCTCAAATCTATTTAATATTTTCAGCTCCTGCCATATCTTAGGGTCTCTGAGGGTAACAGATTCCACACATGGGTTGCTCTTGCTTCAGATTATTCTTTTACTTGTTCTAAACTTCTCTTGATACATTGTCCAGAAGAGCTGCTCTGATAAGCTTAGAAATTTGGTGAAAATCAACTTTGTATTTTTCTGTGACCTTTATAACAACAAGGTTTCAAACCATAATCTTTTCTGAGAAGTCCTTATAGGTTCTCCCTATTATCATATGCAAATTATCTACATTTATGTTCATGGTCTCCCAATATTGGGCTTACTGCTCCTCTTTCCTAAGGTATAATATGCACCTTTGGTCTGGCACAAGGCACACATTGCTGAGTGAATCTTAGGAATGAGGGAATTTTGTTTAATAAATGTGACATATTCTGCACATAGCTCTTACATTGTATGCATACATGTGTTCTCTCTTGTAGGCTATCGGCTGTACTCTGAACTGCAGTTGCCAAAGTTTCAAACCTGGGAAAATAAACCATCGACAGTGTGAACAGTGCAGGCACGGATGGGTGGCTCATGGTAACGTTATTTCTTCCCTCTCATCCTGTAGTGGTCTTTCTTAATAATTTAAATGTATACAGGAACTGATTTCATGCCAAAGGGGGCAGCTGATTCCTAAGCTAAATAGTAAGTTTCTAGTGTGTTCCAGGTAACAGGCTATATAAGTTATTGGTTCACATTTTAACTTTTACACTATCTTACTAACTCTGCTCTAAATATGTCAAAACTGATACTTCAGTGATGTTACATGGCAGTAATAGATATGTTCCATGGGTATAATTAGCCCCTAATACTTTTCAACTGAAATATGTCCTGATACAAGTATATCCCTTACTCATGATTTAGATGAAATGTATAACTGGACATCCTGCTTATACATTCACTGAATCTGACAGTCAGGAGTCACTTGTAATTACTGAATGCTAGGAATGTGGCGAGGGCTACTGGAGGTGGCATTGCTAACTTCCTTTAACTTGATTGATTACATGTAAATAGCCTCCAGCAGCTGGTAACTCTAATGTTGAGCAGGCTGAACTAGGTAGCTTAATTTCTAAAGCCCCCTCCCACGAAGCAGATCAGGGCCTGAACCCAGATCCTTGATTCCCAGGCCATCTTCACCTTCACACTCTGATTCCTAAGTATTCATTCTCTTGGTTCTGTTCTTGCTGCTTTTGTGTCCCCTTCTTCACCCATTTCCATTTGTGAAGATTTTCCTCCTCAGGAATGTCACAAGAAAGGGAGAAAAATCCTGAATCTGTTGTTTTTATTTAAGAAGTTTCTGTGAAGAACATGAATCCCAATAGCTGTTAAGGAGATTGGTCCTTTATGAGTTCTTGTTTATTTTTTTTCCTGTTGGAGCAAACAACTAGGAATAGCTCCAGATGACTTTCTGTGCAATGTTTCTCCTAAAAGTAGAGCTTTTCCAAATGTCTTATACTTGATTTTTAGCTCTGAGTAAGCTGAGGATTCCCCCGGTATATCCAACAAGTCAAGTGGAGATTGTCCAGTCCAATGTGGTGTTCGATATTAGCAGCCTCATGCTCTATGGAACCCAGGCCATCCCTGTTCGCCTGAAAATCCTCCTGGACCGGCTCTTTAGTGTGCTGAAGCAAGATGAGGTTCTGCAGATCCTCCATGCCTTGGACTGAACCCTTCAGGATTATATCCGTGGATATGTGTTACAGGTACAGTGACCTTGCCTGTTTCTTAGAGTGCCCATGTAACTGGTGTAACCCAGTGCCCATCAATCATTGGTAGCTGTCCTTCCCTTTGAACTTTTTCCTAATGACTTAAGCCCCCGATTCATATTCTGTGAGGATTCCTGTCCTTTCCTCAAGATCTCTCTGAAATTCTAGGCTATGGGAGTGTGTTTCACTAGGCTAACTCCCACAGAAAACCATTTGGTTCATTTTGGGAGCTGCCTCCATTACATGTATCATGCCCCACTACCCTCAGACCCGAGATGTTCTGTGTGTTAGGTTTTACTGAGAACTGGAGGTGAGAGAGGGCTCTTACACACCAGCACTACACAACCAGCAGCTCACATGCTGAGCTCCTTTGCTGTCCTGGAAAGGCTCTCCCACTTTGCTCCTGAGTGTCCCTCATCAGCCCCACATGTGATACGGTTGTGATCATATCCTAACCCATTCTCTCTCTGTGTCCATCTTCCTCTTACTCTTTTTATCAACTCTTCTTCTTCCACTTTCTCTTCTCAGCACCACCAAAATTCTCTTTTAGCTTCCTCCCATGTTCTCTTCTTCAAAGTTCTGGCCTTCTAGCCCTTGTCTCCTTTCAGAGTAATTTAGCCTCTTTTCCTGGATCATGCCATGGGTGTAAGGCTCATGTTCCATCTTCAGAGGCAATCAAAGTGTTTTATGAGCAAATAGCATGTTTCCTGAAATACTAGAGCATTGTTTTTGCCACTACATTAGGACTATCAGCAGACTTTGGATAAATTATTTTTTCAGTGAAATAGAAGATACATGTATTTTCAAGTCTAATATTAAAAACAGTCTTAGGTAGAGTGTATCATTAAATAAATACTGATGATACCCATTTATTAGTCGACATGCTCTCCTAGTACTTCATAGTGAAGTAGACATATCTCTGTTTTCATTATTTCTTTTTATTTTTAAATAGGGCCTTATTGCATAGCCCCAGTTGGCCTAGAATTCTTTGTGTAGATCAGACTGCCTTGAACTCACAGAGATCCACCTGCCTCTGCCTCTTGAGTACTGGGATTAGATGTGTGCAGCACCACACCCATTTACCCTTGTTTTCTAATTGAAATTCCATAAGGCTCTCAGTGCTTTATGCTCTCACTGAAAGTTATTCCACAGGAATGAGCAGACCCAGAAATGAGCACATTCCTTTCCAGTTCTACAGCTTGTAATCTTTCCCTGGAATCCTGTGTGCACACCTCTGGTACAGGGCCCTCCACTGACTGGAAATGGCCATACGTAGAGTAGCATTATGGTCTTACATTACAACATAGATCAATATTTAATGATCCTAATAATCTTGCTTTCTAGTGTTAGGATTAAAAATATGGAATCAATTACCTTGAACCTCTGGTGCATGAAATATTTATGATGTTACATTCCTCCTCATCTTCAAAACTCTCACATGCACTGTGAAAAATCTCAGTAGGCCATCAAATATGTGTTCTGTGATAAAATATTTATTGTAGTTTTGGGAAAAGTTAGGCCTTGCTAGAGTTTGAAAGATCTCCAACACTCCAGCATAATTACAGCTCTGCTTTATGAACATGGGCAGTAGATCAATACGTGCTCATTTGGTTTTTGATGGTAGGTGTTTAGGAGATTATTAAGTTTGCAGCAAATGAATACTTGGTCTATATCCAGACTTCACTGTCCCATTTGTAGTCTTTCCATGAAGATACTACTGTTGTTCAGATAATACATATTTTTATTTTAGTGAGGAAAATCATTGTGCCTCAGATATGACAAAAATCTTGTATGACAACAGACTGGTTTGAAATATGATGGAAAATATTTTCCAAATTTCCCTGACTTGGGTTTGAGTAGTACATCTTTATTTCACTCTTCTAGGCTAATGGTAGGGCCACTGTTTACACTTGTGTAGTTTATGTATGTGTTTCTGGCCTAGGAGAGTGAGGTGGGCAGGGACTGAGCTTTCGAAGTCCTGTGTTGATCCACAGGAAACGTTTTTCTGGCAGGCACAAAAATACCCTGTTGTAGTCTAGTGGAGGCTCCTTGGGGAGCAGATGGCAGCTCCGTGGGGAGCAGAAGGAGCAGCTGTGAAGTGGGCATTCTTTTACATTCTGGTTTGTATTTAGGATGCCTCAGGGAAGGTGTTGGATCACTGGAGCATCATGACCAGCGAGGAAGAAGTGGCCACCTTGCAGCAGTTCCTTCGCTTTGGAGAGACCAAGTCCATAGTTGAGCTCATGGCAATCCAAGAGAAAGAAGAACAGTCTATCGTCATACCACCCTCCACAGCCAATGTAGACATCAGGGCTTTCATTGAGAGCTGCAGCCATAGGAGTGCTAGCCTCCCTGCTCCAGTGGACAAAGGGAACCCCAGCAGCATGCACCCCTTTGAGAACCTTATAAGCAACATGACTTTCATGTTGCCTTTCCAGTTCTTCAATCCTCTGCCCCCTGCTCTGATAGGGTCACTGCCTGAGCAGTACATGCTTGAGCAGGGTCAGGACCAAAGCCAGGACCCCAAACAGGAGCTGCACGGGCCCTTCTCTGACAGCAGCTTCTTAACGTCCACACCATTTCAGGTTGAAAAAGAACAGTGTCTAAAGTGTCCAGATGTTGTTACCCCAAAAGAAGACAGTGCACACTTAAGTGATTCCAGCTCATACAGCATTGCTACTAAGCTGGAAAGGACACAGCTGTCCCCTGAGACCAAAGTAAAGCCTGAGAGGAACAGCATTAGTGCTAAGAAGGGCCGGGTGTTCTGCACTGCATGTGAGAAGACATTCTATGACAAAGGCACTCTGAAGATCCACTACAACGCCGTCCACCTGAAGATCAAGCATAAGTGCACTATTGAAGGGTGTAACATGGTGTTCAGCTCCCTGAGGAGCAGGAACCGACACAGCGCCAACCCCAACCCTCGCCTGCACATGCCAATGAACAGAAATAACCGGGACAAAGATCTCAGGAACAGCCTGAACCTGGCGAGCTCTGAGACGTACAAGCGCCCAAGTTTCGCAGTCATGTCTCCAGACTGTGGGCCCCTCCCAGGCTACACAGGTTCAGTGGAGGACTCCAAAGGTCAGCCAGCTTTCTCGGGCATTGGGCAGAATGGTGTGCTTTTCCCTAACCTACGAACTGTCCAGCCAGTCCTTCCTTTCTACCGCAGTCCAGCTACTCCTGCGGAGCTGGCAAACACACCTGGTGTGCTGCCTTCTCTCCCTCTGTTGTCTTCCTCGATCCCAGAACAGCTGGTTTCCACAGACATGCCATTCGATGCTCTTCCCAAGAAGAAATCCCGGAAGTCCAGTATGCCTATCAAAATAGAGAAGGAGGCTGTGGAAATTGCCGACGAGAAGAGGCACAGTCTCAGCTCAGATGATGGCATGCCCCTGCAGGTAGTCAGTGAAGATGAGCCAGAGGACAGCAGTCCTCAGTCAGACCAAGTACCTGAGGAGCAGCACACACAGTTGAGCCTAGAAAAGCCTTTCCCACAAGGAGAAAGACCCTGCCATCTTGAATCTGTGATTGAGTCTCATGGAACTATCAGCAGAGCCCTTGAGCAAACCACACACACACAGAGGGAGGCTGAGCAGAAGTTAGCCTTGACGTCAGTAATGCCAAGAGAGGTGGAGAATGGTGGCCACGAGCGCCATTTCACACCTGGACTGGGGCCCCAAATTCCTTTCCCTGACTACATGGATTTGCAGCAGCGCCTACTGGCTGGGGGACTCTTCAGTGCTTTGTCCAACAGGGGGATGACTTTTCCTTTTCTGGAAGACTCCAAAGAACTGGAACATCTGGGTGAGCATGCACTAGTGAGGCAAAAGGAGGAAAATCGCTTTCAGTGTGACATCTGCAAGAAGACCTTTAAAAACGCTTGCAGTATGAAGACACATCATAAGAATACACATGCCAAAGAGACACACACGTGCACAGTGGAAGGGTGCGGTGCTGCCTTCCCATCCCGTAGGAGCAGAGACAGGTAAGGTGTCTCTCTGTCAGTGTCTCTTTTAAGACACTGACAGTTCAAATGCTAGCAAACATTAGAGTTGCCTGAAAAAATCAGGAAAACAGACCTCTGGGCCCTAACCCTAAAATTTGCTGCTGTGGGTTAGAGGTGAAACCTAGAAGGTGGGTGTGGGAAATTCATGAATTTTCAGTTTCAAAACTCTAAAAGCATTTAGCCGAAAAACTTAACCTGGAAAGACATGATGATTTTTTTTTTTTGGTAGATTCCTACTATCACCTTCTTGAAAGGTTTATGTTGGTCTGGTATTACTGAATTACTAGTGACTGTATTCATATTATTTTATTAATAGATATTCTGATATATTTCAGCACATGTATTATCCTACCTTTGTAAAGGCTGAGAGATCTCAAATTGAGAAACGCATCCGCCCCCAGGTGTGTGGGATAAAGAATGGTGAGCTGGTTCTCAACGTTAGTGGATTGTGTAAAGGGTATGGAGGAAGGGCTTTTTAAAGTGTCACATAATCTCTCAGAACTAGCCTGATTTTCATTTCAATAAATGAAGAAGTCCGTCACGTGAAACCTATTCTCTGGCTTCTAGTCATCCAGCAACACTTGCAGAAAGAGTAACTGCTTGATTAGAGCCTTTTAAAGATGTTAACCTATCAGAGAATAAAGGTGGCTAGCAGCTCCTTTCAGAGGCTACTATATACATTTGAAAGTTGCTGGGTTTTCATAAAACACAGACTTGTCTCTCAGGGCTTATCTCCCCGGAGTGCATCACTGTGCTCTTGTGTGTGTGCACTTGGGACACTAATAGTGGTTTAGGTCACTCTCCTCCCAGCCTTTGAAAGGAGCCAACGCAGCCAATGTGATCTAAGAAGTTTAATGAAAGGGTCAGCTGTCTGATGAAATGCAGTGTGATAAATGGCTCAGAGGATGTGAAAACTACATTTGTTCAAACAAGCTTGACTTGAAGCAGGTTAGCACCACCACTAACTTGGTCCAAATTGTAACACCTAATTTGTTAAGAGTGTGAAAATGTAAAGACTCCCACACACATTCCTGGCTAGGGCTCATAAGAACACCCTCATTGTCTTTAATAAAGAGAAGGAAGCACAGGAGATATTAGTTAAAATTCCTGCCTTCTGTTGCTAGGATGTTTAAACCAAACCACTAGGGTACCCCTAATTAATGAACCAGTCCTTCTCCTTCATTCTCCAAGAAGAGGAGGGTTTGCTTATGAATAAGCTGTTGTTATAAAAAGAAGTAGTCATATCAGTTAGATTATCTTTGCTCTTTATGAGACCGATGCAGTCTATAGGATCTACTAAATTATAACACATACTAAATTGACAGTGTTTTTCATACGATGCCTAATTTCCATACAGCCAATGTTTTCTTGTGTTATGAACTATATGTGTATAGAAGTCTCCACCATAACAGGATTCCATCTTGTATTCTAGATTTTTTTTTTTTAAGATTTATTTATTAGCCAGGCGTTGGTGGTACATGCCTTTAATACCAGCACTCGGGAGGCAGAGGCAGGGGGATTTCTGTGAGTTCGAGGCCAGCCTGGTCTACAAGAGCTAGTTCCAGGACAGCCTCCAAAGCCACAGAGAAACCCTATCTCGGAAAAAACCAAAACCAAACAAACAAACAAAAGATTTATTTATTTATTTTGTATACAGTGTTCTGCCTGCATGTATGCCTGCAGGCCAGAAGAGGGCACCAGGTGTCACTACAGATGGTTGTGAGCCACCATGTCGTTACTGGGGATTGAACTCAGGACCTCTGGAAGAGCAGCCTGTGCTCCTAGCCACTGAACTATCTCTCCAGCCCCTATTCTAAATGTTTTAACACTTTATTTCCCATTTCATTTCAATAGTCTAGATTTTTGAACAGTTATCTTTAAAAAAATGTTATCATTGTAAAAGCATCATTTTAAGTAGGATTTTGTGGACACACTTAGGCCCAGGCTTATCACTTCAGCTAAGTCAAAGTTGAGAACTGCATTATGTTGTTTGTTAAAGCAACTAACCTATCCTCTTTGAGCCACAGATCCTGCGAGCAGCAGCTCCTGGGATTCGAGAGTGACAGACAGACAATCTTAAATGTTTATTTAATCAGCAAGTCTTCTGTGTTAGATGCCGGGAAACACAATCCTTGCTCACAAAAGTTGTCAGGCTAGTGGACAAGACAGACCGTGAAAAGGAATTACAGATGACCATAAAGATTGCTGTAGTGAAATGTAGGCTATAATGACACACACTGGGATGCTTAACTAGACTCCTTGATCTGTTAACGAAGGCCCCCTGGATGAAGGGGTATGACCAAACTGGCAAGTAGTAAATGTATTAATCATGTAACATTTTTTTTGTAACTCCACTAAGTACCTGCAAGTGCTTTTCTCTATTAAGGTTATAGCACTCATTGTTTACTGTATTAGGAAGTAAAACTGGAAAAATATGATCTATCTCTTTAAAACAAGAATATGCACATTAAATGTTAATATCACACATTAATAGGAAGTAACTTCTATTTTTCCAAAATAAATATAGTGAGAGAAATGGCTTTATTATATGTTTTTGCAAATCTCTAATACTTGGTTTAGTAGAAAACAGCTGGGTTCTCACATCTGCTTCTGCATTCAGCCTGTTGCAATATCACATTGTATAGGTTCTGGAAACTCCCCTGAATTAATAATGCTGGTTATGAACTCCTGCTTTGGGAGCTGCTGTAAGGATGTTGGGGACTAGGCTTGTTCACTTTGAGAGCCACTGACCTCAAATGAATACAAGCAAAAGGGAGGGGCTGCAGTGGGAGTTGGAAGGCAACGGGAAGATGAGGCAGGGGGCACAGATTCTCAAAGTCCTTGGAGACGAAAGCCTGGCATGTGGTCCAGAGAGTCTTTGTATTCATAGTATTTCCTGGTCATAGGGGCTGCACCTTAGGAATGGCTAACCCTCTGAGGCCTGAGGAAGGAAGATACCGCTGTTAGTGTCCACTGGGTAGTCAGGAGCCGGATATGAGACCCAGAGGTTTACACTGTAGTGGTGCCTTCAGGTTCCAGGTTGAAATACATGTCTGATTTTTTTCAACTGCTTGAATGTGGTGGAATTAATATGTCCATCTGCTGTCTGGTTTTCTGCCGACACATGCCAGCCGTTTCAGTGCGGAACATTAACATAATCACAGGGCAGAGCCTTAGAAGAGAAGAGCTGCTTGCAAAGTGGGTGATCTCGGAGTATAATTCTAATGTCCACAAAACATGTATAAAGGGGTAAAAAAAGAAAACCCTGCATAACAAAAGCTATACATTTTATGAAATATAATTAAGATTTCCTCATACACATACCATGAGGGATTTAGAATAGAAAATTTAATTCTTAACTTACTCAGAGAGAGTGTTTTCTTGAGTCTGGCCTAATTCTGACCTAAATTGGTGGAGACATTTTTCTTATTCGGGATCATTCTCCTGTTACCTGTAAGATTGTAACCTTTGGTGTAAGGGATTTTTTTTTTTCTTGTCAGAAGTTACCACGGGATCCCTAAGCAAGAGCAACATTGATTTTACAAGTTACATCCATGATAACATGGGGGTAAACAGCATGTGTCATAATAGATGCTCATCATCTGCCTCTTAGGAGTAAATCATTGGGTGCAAGATTGGCAGTGTGCTCACACTGCTGCATTTGCAAAACTCCTGTCTGGTTCATCATGAGATACTGCAGATAAGACCTACACTACACTACACTACACTACACTACACTACACTACACTACACTACACTACACTCACACACACACACACAGGAGTGAAACATGAACTCCTGCTCAAGACCAGCACTATTCAATAGAAAGATGATGTGAAGCCATGATAGGAATCTTTATTGTTCTACTAACTATCAAAAGGGCAAAAGGAACCAGGGAATGTAAGTTTTAATAACATGTTTAATTTAATTCAATATGCTCCCAATACTATCTTTTCTGTATATGACAGTGACAATGTGTCAGGTATGAATACCCTATCAGATGGTGTGGTTTGACGATGGTAGTCTTTCATCATTTCATTGAAATAAAGTATTCTGCTTAGTTTCTTATCATCTGTGACTGATGCTTTCCTGGGCTCCTCTGAATCTAGTGTCCCCATTAAATTGGCCTAATTGAAATCATCTCGACCTCCTCTATGGATGAGATGAAGGAAGATACATGTTAATCAGGTAGTGAAAATTGAAGTTCCAGACTGTTGGCTTTCCTGGGGAATGCTGGTTTCTGATGAATAGCCATAGCAGTGGTCTGGTGTCTGCTGACCACACAGCACAGCTCACAGGATGCTAACCATGACTATTACCCTCAACTCACCACAAGTTCTTCCTAGTGTCTGCTCAGTCTTTCTTCTCAGAATAATGGCTCTGTCTTTTCACTCTTGTAGACACAGCTCGAACCTAAGCCTCCACCAGAAAGTATTGAATGAAGAAGCACTGGAGAGTAGTGAGGACCATTTCCGTGCAGCTTACCTTCTGCAAGATGTGGCTAAGGAGGCCTATCAGGATGTGGCTTTCACACCACAAGCATCGCAGACATCTGTCATCTTCAAGGGAACAAGTGGCATGGGCAGTCTGGTTTACCCAATATCTCAAGTTCACAGTGCCGGTCTGGAGAGTTACAACTCCGGTCCCCCTAGCGAGGGCACCATCCTGGATTTGAGCACTACCTCAAGTATGAAGTCAGAGAGCAGCAGTCACTCCTCCTGGGACTCTGATGGGGTGAGCGAGGAAGGCACTACCCTTCTGGAGGACAGTGATGGGAACTGTGAAGGACAGAGCCTTGTCTCTGGGGAAGATGAGTACCCCATCTGTGTCCTGATGGAGAAGGCCGACCAGAGCCTTGCTAGTCTGCCCTCTGGGTTGCCCATAACCTGTCATCTCTGCCAAAAGATATACAGTAACAAAGGGACTTTCAGAGCCCATTACAAAACGGTGCACCTCCGCCAGCTTCATAAGTGCAAAGTGCCAGGCTGCAACACGATGTTTTCATCTGTTCGAAGTAGAAACAGACACAGTCAGAATCCGAACCTGCACAAGAGCCTGGCCTCATCTCCAAGCCACATCCAGTAACAAGCCAAAGACTCTTTGATGGGTGTTTGTCATGATTTCAGGAATAAAATAATCCAAAGAATAAGGTATTTGGACTGTTGAGTACCCTTTCTCATAAGCCAGGCAAAAGTGACTTGACTGTACAGTCTTCTGCAGCAGGAAAAGCACAAGGCAAGCCTGTGAGACGTTGACACTGGGGTAGCCCTTCCTGTTATTATTTTTCTTAGCCCCCAAGGTTTTCCAATGACACAAGGAAAACACAGAAAGGCAGTTTCCCCCAGATTTGTTTACATGTTCTCTAGGAGACCTCCAGGTCTACAGACCAACTGGAGGGAGTGGGGATCAGGAACTAGGCACAACTTCACATAAGGCCTGCAGTACTAAGGGTATCAGGGAATACATCTCCTTGAATATAACACTGTCACTGTGGGCATGACAACCAGTTCCAAAGATTTCATTTTCAGCCCCATCCCCCTTTTTGGATGAATCCAGAACCCAGACTTGAGTTTAGGGAAATGACATTCAGAAACCATCCCTCCATTGGGAGTCGATAATTGCTCCCTCACAGTTTTGGATATAATTCCAAGGAGTGCTCTGAGGAAGCTGGTTGGCCACTAATATGTCAATTCTCCTTGATCTGTAAATGCATTTAAGAAGCTAGAGGAAAAATATTTTGTGCACTTAAGAATAGTGGACTGCAGTTTAATTTAAAGTTATTTTGATAATATTTAACTTGTGTTTATAGTACGTAACTATTTGATGTGAGTGCAGACATGTCTATGTCACCTCTGAATCTGTTTGGAATTGGAACAAATGACAGGTTACACTTCAGAAGGACAGCCTGTCTTCGGGTAGTGAACTGCAGACTGTTGACTGCTGTGGAATGAGTATAAGTGTGATTCTGACTAGTGCACTTGCATGTATCCACCAAGCTGTTTAGAGAGCATGGCTCTGATAGCTGTTGTCTTTCCAGTGTCAATGGATCCCTCACTCTCTGCCCTTTGGTAAATGTATGAGGTTAGGATGAACTTTGAAATGCATTTGGTAGAAAGAAAAGTAGGGACCGTACTGCCATGTTCTGTGTCTTAATATTTAACTTATTCCAGGGTCTATCCCACACCGTTAAACATGTTTACCACTATAGAAAGGATATCAGCCCTGTGAAATGAGACCATCTCTTGGAATTCAGCATTTACAATATCCTAAAGGGCTACACAGCTTTAAAAGAAGTGGATTTTGTATTCAGAGTTGAAGTTAACTGTCTGTCTGACTCATGTTGACTTAATTTAAAAATCCTTAAAGGAAATTCATGGTTATAAGAGATATTATTCCCCTGGCTTAAAGATAGAAAAGCCAAAAACTTGTTAGCAATTATTTCAACTTTAAAAATTTACTTAAAAGTTGTCTCTGCTTAAGGAGAGATACATCTTTCAAGCTTTTTTGTTACTGAGATGTTTAACATTCTAGTTTCCCCAAATTTGAATGAAAAAATTTGTATGCAGTGTTTTCTATGATTTAATAAAAATATATGACATACCTTTTGTTTAAAAGGCAAATATTTGTAACAATGGTTTTGTCTATATGTCTGTCTTTTCAAAAGTGGATGTTCTCATGCATACAGATGCAGACACTGAATTTGAAAGCGCTGAAAGCCCACAGATGGCAAGACATTGCAACACCAAAATAGATAGCAGTAAAGAGGTCAAAGAGATGAATTGAAGTGGGTCATTCGTTGGGAGGATGAGCTGTGTATTGATCTTTAAGAAAAATAGATATTGTGGTGTTTCATAAGTACAGTGCTGTCCAAGATAACCCCTAGCTGATAGTTAAAACAGGACTTAATGAAACATTTAAGCCTTTTCTTGATGTAACTTAATTTCTTCACTTTTTGCCCACCCTCACGAATCCAGTGTCCCAGTTAAGCTGGCATAATCAAAGTATCTGGCCACTCTCTATCAGTGCAGGAAGCTACAAGTCCTTTAGATGGTGAAGATGAGAACTTTGTAGTCCCAGCTTGCAGACTATTGAGTTTCCTGGTAAGTGCTAACTCCTGAAAAGCAGTGAGTGGCAGTCCATAAAGAACTTGAACCCATCTGTCCATCCACCCTCCCTCCCATATTTGATGCCCTTCATATTTTACTGAGTAAAAGATGTCATTGGGGGGAAACTATCAGCATTTATACTAGTCCCATACTAAGCCATTTCGTCTTTCCTGAGTGGCAACAGTTGCATCCTGAATGATCTCTTGTTTCTATTCTTACACCCTATAGCAACTACAATGATCTTGACCAGTTGTACATTAGATCATGTGGTACCCAAGTTGAACCCCCTCCCCCAGTGATTTTCCCTAACAGCTAATAGAAAATCCCAAGGCTCACAAAGACCTGCAGTATTTTTCTATCACTATTAACTTCTCTATCCTCTTATCTATTTCCTGTCTTTGCATACAACGTGTCCTTTCTCTTTGTCCTGCAGTAGCTCTCCCAAAACTTCATTTACAAGATCACACTCCAGCTGACCCCACTTCTTTCTTTAGATAACTAGATAGAAATCTATTTGTCCACCCCTTCCCTTGTCACCATGTCCATATTCACATCCATCCCTTATGGTCATATCTTCCTAGACCTTCAGACGATAACACCTTGTTTTTGGTGTGCCACCAGAGTGACCTGCAAATCTCTATGAGAAGGTGATGGGGATCCTTCACTACCCATTTTTCTGTCACAACTCAGTCCCATCTCAGTCTCCCATAAGAGCCAGATTTCCCTAGCTCTGCCTGTATAAGGTGTTTTTTTTTTTTTTTGCTTTTTGTTTGTTTGTTTTTACAGATATGTAAGTCTGAATCCTTAATGAAACAGATTGAAAATACAGGAAGACTTTTATCATGAGGAACTTCTTTGAGACCAAAAATGGATGAGGGAAAGCAGGACAGACAACGTACGTGGTGTAGTTTTGCCATAGTGTATGGTAGTTTCCCAGTAAACCTCTACTTCTGTTTGTTCTCAAATCAAACCTCCACACAGCAGTTAGAGGGAGTTCTACAATCACATGCATTTGACTACGTCCTCACCTTTAGCTGCACACACACACACACACACACACACACACACACACACACCCACCCCCTCAGGCAGAATCCAACAAGGCCAAGCCTGTTACTTAGGACTGTAGCCATGCTCAGCAGCCCCACTAATCCATGGTCTTCCTTTGAGATTCAACTCAGCAATCATCATTTGTAGGAAGCCTCTTTTGACTCCTACTGTTTTCACTTCAGGGTTGAGAAGCCCATTCTCTACCTCTGTGGCTCCATGTTCTCTGGGTCGGCTCACAGATTTCCTTTACTCCAGGCCCACCACCTGGGTGGCAGTCTTTTAGTCACTCATCTTGATTGTGGCTAAGTTTCACTGTGACCTTCAGGTTGGTGTTCATCAACAGAAAGATTGAGAACCCAAGAACTACTAAATACATAGTGGTAAATATACTAGGCATGGCCCCTACCCTTATGAAATGTAAAGCCCATCAAGAAAGCTGGATCCTAAGCCAAAAATTAAAAGTAATACAAACTGAATTATTAGAAGACAATTCTATTTTGTATTTTATTTTTTATAATCTCTCTCATTTCCAAATAACTAAGAGTGAAGGTCATGACACTTCCCATGGCTTTTAAAGAATTAAAAAGAGGTTAAAAGCTCATATTGAGCCATGCACTGGTGGTGCACGCCTTTAATCCCAGCACTCGGGAGGCAGAGGCAGGTGGATCTCTGTGAGTTCGAGGCCAGCCTGGTCTCCAGAGTGAGTGCCAGGATAGGCTCCAAAGCTACATAGAGAAACCCTGTATCAAAAAACAAAAACAAAAACAAAACAAAACAAAGCTCATATTGTTTGTGGTGGTTTGAATGAGGATGGCCTCCATAGGCTCATGTATTTGAATACTTGGTCCCCAAATGATGAAATGCTTGGAAAGGATTAGGAGGTATGGCCTTGTCAGAGGAGGAATATCACTGGCTTTGAGGTTGCAAAAAAACTCAGCATTTCAAGTTTGTTCTCTCTACTTCCTACTTATGGATCAAGATGTAAGCTCTCAGCTGTTTCTGTGGCTATGCCTTTGCCCCCCATCACAGACTCTCACCCTCTGAAACCATAAGCCAAATTAAATGCTTTCTTTTATGTTATCTTGGTCATTGCATTTTGTCATAGCAATAAGAAAGTAACTGAGACACTTCTCTTGCAGAGGACCTGAGTTTGGTTCCCAGCACCCATATCTGGCAGCTTGCAAACTTGTGTAATCTCTGGTGCATCTGATGCCCTCTTCTGGCTTCCAAGGACACATGCACTCACTTGCACATATCCAAACACAGAAACATAGACATACATAAATCTTTTAAATCTTTTTTTTTAAGACTAGGTGCATAAATGACTCCACACATACACATAACTCAAGTGTCAATTGCCTATAGTTTCCTGAACCTCCTGTCTTCTAAGACCATCCTTTCACTTATATTCATGTTAAATAACTGAGTCTCCACCCAACACTTAAAGAACATTTGTCTCAGCGATGATTCTCTCCATTAGTCTCTGAATATCAGAAAAGCACAAACCTCATTCTGAAGACAGACTTTCAAATCAACAAAATTTCAGCTCCCAGACAAAAACTTGCATTTTTGCCCTTAATCACAAGATCTGATCATTTATACTTCAGTCAAACTCCAAAAACATTTTATTCCCTATCTTGATCAAATATTTAGAAACCACAGGAGTACAGTTATGTCATTTTGCCTATGTCAGGATGGTTTCCCCTGACTAAGCTAAGAGATTAATGGTTCTCGGTTGTCCCTGGTTTCTTAAAACCTTTATTAGGAAAGCTGACAGATCACTGAGTGGAGCTTTGTTTGTTGTATGATTTTCCCCCTTGAGACAAAATCTTCATAACATAAAACTTACCATTTTAGCCATTTTAAAGCATTCATATCAGTAGCATTTATGTATGTGTGTGTACCACTTGTATCTACTTCCAAAACATT